ACAACCTTTGCTTTTTTTCATTCTGAATTATATAAATAAATTTTTTAATTATTGTTGTAATACTAAAATTATTTTACGAACAAATTATTCTAAGTAATTTTTTTTACTATGCTCATTATTTTGTTATTCCAACATTGTAAATGCTTAAATACTTTTATTTTTTTAATTTATAAATAATATTATATTTATCTATAGGTAAGTCCATAAAATAAATTAAAAGGGAAAAAATCATAATATTAAAAGGTTTAAAAAAAATAAAAAGAAGATAAATATTTATAATTTAGAGGGTAAAATAGGTATTTGGCAATCCAAAATTTGGAAAATCTAGTTAAGTGACCTTCTGAGTGCAATAGGCATAGTTCAATAACTTTATTGCTACAAACGAAAAAAAAAGTGACTTTAGGAGATAATTTGGGATAGTTGAGTGATCATTTGAGTAAGTGACTTCGCCAAAAAAACAATTGAAAAGATCTATTTCAAATTGCTCAATTTTGCATTCATATCCTTGCCGCAAATATTTGTATTTTCCTTTATCATTGTAATTATTTCTACTTTCAATATTCGTGAAATCTTCTTTAACAACAACAACAAACCCGGTATAATTACACATAGTGAAGTCTGAAAGAATAGTATGTACAAACCTGGTATAACCGCACATAGTAAAGTCTGGGGAGAATAGCAGTGGCGAAGCTAGGAATTTTTCCAAGGGTGTTCAAATTTAAAAGAAGTGGAAATTTTTTTCGACAAAGGGTGTTATATGTATTATATACTTCTAAAACGTAATATTTTATCTATGTACATAGTACAATTTTTCAACGAAGGGTGGTCAGTTGACCACCCTTAACACCATGTGGCTTCGCCACGGGAGAATAGTATGTACCTAGCCTTATCCCTACCATGTGAAGATAGGGAGTTATTTTCAATAGACATAGTATAAATATAATTTAAAATTACCCCCAAGTTAAATTATGTTAGAAGTGAAAAGCCAAAAACGAGATTTTATCGTAACGACGGGTTAATATTATAGCAAAAATTTTAGTAAAATGCAAAGCTGCGCAATTTTAAATAGTACAAAAAAGATAGATAAATTAATTAAATAATCTTTAAAAATTCGAACAACAGAAAAAGTGTGACACTATCATAATTAACAATAATACGCACAAATAGCCTTGGCGTAAGAATAAAGCAGGAATATCAAGCTTCCTCTAAGCACTCAAATGATGATCCACTTTTAGGTTACCAATCTTGCTTAATGATAATGCACTTTAGTTTACCATTCTTGCTTCTTCGTGCCACCTCCAAGGCTGACTCTATTTTTTCGTCAAATTTCACTCTAAAATGGTGCAACACCAAATTTACTCTAACCATTACACTATTTTTACACCAAATCTTTTCTCTCTTCTATATTATATTATTATCTTCTATTTACTTTTCATTTTTTATTTCTTTCAAACTAATACTATCTTTTTTCTTTTTTCCATATTCATTATATATAATTCACTAAACTTATGTTTTATGTTTTTAATGTAATTTCAATTTTAATGTATCCTCCTTTTATGTACTTTAATTATAATGTAATTTTATTTTATGTATTGTTAATTTTTTTTTTTAGATTTTAGTTTTCACTTTTTAATTTTAGCAACACTAGATATCTTAAATTTGCAATTTTTATTTTTAAATAATGGTTATATTTCTTTTTATACAATTATAATAATAAAATTAACTTATAATTTTATATAAATATAATATATACAAAAATTAATATATCAAAAAATAGGATATAAAATTAAAATTATAAAGATCTTAATATAAAAGTTAATTATATACACAATATATGATAAATTAAAAGTCCAAAAATAAAAAAAAGTGAATAAAATAATATTAAACCAAATATAGAGTAATGAATAGTGTTGCACCAATGAATAGTGTTGCACCAAATTTGGTGCAACACTATTCATGCTCTATAATAGAGCAAGAAATAGAGTGGCATTGGAGCAAGAATGCACTATTTCTTGCACCAAATTTGGATTTGGTGCAAGAAATAGAGTAGCATTGGAGATGCTCTCAGTACATATATTTATTACTTAATCAGACTAAACATTCCGTAAGTACCTTTACATAAAAATAGGAGGACGGGCATCTCAGTACATATATTTATTACTTAATCAGACTAAACATTCCGTAAGTACCTTTACATAAAAATAGGAGGACGGAGAGAGTATTATTTTGTCTAACGACATCTCATGACCTAATAAAATGTTACTGAGTCGTTGTTGTTGTTGACATCTCATGACGATTTTACCAGGTCGTTGTTGTTGTTGACATCTCATGACCTTCGCACATTTTTTGGGTCAGCCTTCACTTCTCTTTCCAATACTGAAATTCTTAATCCCCTTATGTCCTTGGCATAATTTCAAAGATAGCAAGAGATGTTTGTTTAACATCAATTTTCAAGTAGTCCGCTCAAGGACGGCCTTGATTCTAGCTGGCTTTCAACATTTATGTCTTTAAGGGCTTGCACTCAAAAGTTCTAAGGTTTTGGTAACCACACTCACTACAAAAATTAATCTTGGTCTGCTCACTGCAGATTTGGTAATGATATTAACAGGAACTCCAATTTGACAGGACAAACAAAGCGAAAAGAATAACAATAACAACAATAATGAAAGGATCAGATATCATGGGCAGGGAGGAATCTACAAGAATTCCCTCCGTGATGATATTAGAGAATCCTTGTTTAAGTTCACAAGTTTAATGTACCAACACCTTTCCTCATCAAAACACACATACATTAGTTGAATTCGAAACTTGAGTTGCAGTATAAGTAGAACTGCATCATGGCTTCACTCACTAAAGTACATTCCAAGGTAAATCATAACTTTTGAGTCATCAACCAATGTTGCTACAACGACACAGATGATCAAGCATCCACTTCTTGCGAAAAGGCAAAGAACAGGGGAAAAGTGTGGGTGAACTGGAGGAATAAACACTTGTTGAACTTCTACTAAAGCAATACTAATTTAGACAGAATTTGGTGCTCATTAAGTCTGAGGTGCATGAACTCGTTGAGTTATCAACAAAGGCAACTCGACAGAAATCATTTTTAAATACCTTGTAAGTAGGCAACCCACCCACCCACCCCCACCCCACACCCCACACCCCCACCCCGGAAAAAAAATGTGATTTATTGTGCTGGAGGAGCAAGTTGTCTCAATTTAGCTTGCAAGATCACACCAGTTTCATCAGCAATACTTTTCTTCTTCGTTGCAACCTGCAATTTGTACAAATGATTACTAAAAGAAGAAGGTAATGTCCATGAGAAATGAAAAACATAATCAGGCTGTTTGTTATCAGACTATAAACCTCAAGGAACTCCTCCCAACATCAGCCACATAACTTTTTCAAAGGATAGAAAGATACTACTAGTATAGATTCTTTGATCTTGCAAGAGGAAAAAGAGAGTTATATATTGGTCTTTGGTCTTCAGACCAAAATGGAGAAAGAGGTATCGCCTGCAGCTTGAACAAGCCTTTTCTTTTCTAAAGGAAACCCAACTACTTGATTCATTATTTGTGAGGACTAACCCTCTACTCCAATAAGGTATAGCTGGCAATAACTCGTGATGGTAAAGAATGATCAAAGCTACATAGTTTAAAGCAGAGTCACACTACTTATTCCAACCCCGCCCCTTGGTTTAGTTTCCATCAAGCAAAAGCAGCAAAAAACCTTTCTACAGGTAAGTAGCTAGTCGAAATCTAAGGTTAAGATCTCTAATAAAGACTCATTGCTGACCACTTCATCGGCTCTCCAGTTGTTTCAGGAGATTGTAGTTATCCATGGTCAAAATTCCTAACATCGGTTGCCTCCCAAACGAGTGGGGTCACCTTCAACAAAAAGAGTACTCGAGAGTAGAGTATGTAAATCAATAAGGACTGTTAGCTTACACCACATTAGCAAAGCTAAAGACTTTACCTATATTTCCCTGGAACTTGAATGCTCTCATTTTGGTGACAAGTCAACGGTATTCCTCGCACAAAATTTTACAAGGCTGAAATCAACTTATCAGCCAAAACCTCTTTGGGACTAATAAGCAAATTGAGATTGTCATTCTCTAATTTTTATCAGCCCAAAAGTGGTAAACAGGTCACCTCTCCCAGCCTACAAGAGTTTAGCATTTCCTCCAAGTGTATGTAGAAGCAATCCTCAAGCAGGATAAAGACAGTGAGTGAGATATATTCAGATGGACCGGTGTTGTGAAAAGTGGTCGCTTCATCGTTTGGCGAGCAGGTAGCGTTTCTCGGGTGTGAAGCGAAGCGACTCTAATGAAGCGGTCGTGAGAAGTTAGAAGCAGAGGAAGCAATTGCTTTGTACTTTTTTTTTTAGAGGACTTTTTTTTTTAAAAAAAAAGAGTCAATTCTTTTTAGAAGAAAAATGGATATAGGGGCCTATTTAAAAAAGAGAAAAAAAACCCGAAGACTAGAGATTTCATCTGCTCCATCCCATCACTGCTAGGATTAGAAATAGGCTCCAGGAATCTTTTCTCCTTCTTCTTCTTCTATCTTCTTCTGTCTCCTTCCCTTCAATTTCGTTCGCTCCAGCTGCTAGGGTTTCTTGTTCCCTTCTTTCTTTGTTTTAAGCTAATTTCTTTTTGTTCTTTTTCTCTCTTTTTTCCCGATTCTGTTAATCTTTTGTTTTATTATAAGAAATCGACTTATAACTTGAAAGATATATACACACACACTACTTTTTAGTTTTTAAATTGAAAGATCCCTTCGTTCCAATTTATGTGAATCTATTTCATTTTTAGTTCATTCGGAAAAGAATGACATCTTTCTAAATTTGGAAACAATTTAATTAAACTTCAATTTCTACCCTCAATGAGAAGCTTTTATCGTCACACAAATACTCTGGCATGTTTAACACCACAAGTTTCAAAAGAATTATAGCCACACAAATGCTATGGCTTGTTTAGGACCACAATTTTAAGTCTTTATTTCTTTCTTAAACACCATATCAGGCCAAATAGGTTCACATAAATTGGAACACAGGGAGTATTGTTTTTGCTGAGTTCTTTTTATTTAGTTATTTTACATATTTGTTTGGTGTTTTTTCAAAAATGTCGCTTCGCCAATGAAGCAAGCGCTTCGCTTCTCGCTTTAAGCGAAGCAAGCCCTTGTTGTTTTTTGGCGCTTCACGCACAAAAAAAACTGAGATAGACTCATAGAGGAAACTACCGAATGAAGAAGTACCAAGTATTTTCATGGTGACTGACTGTGTTAGATTTAGCTCTTCTCTTTCTTGTGATTTGGCATAATTCATGTGCTAAAGATGAGGCATAAGAAAAATGTTTGAAATATCTTCAAACTTACTCTACTATCCCTAGGTCATTCAAATTCATTGCAAACATGAGAAGAATGAAATTCCACTTTAATGATATTGAGGTTGCATTTACGAATTCTGAAACTAGTATTCAATTTGTTTAATCTCTAACTTTTAATCAGGTTAAGAGTGTTCAGTTGATACCATGCCTCAATTAATTCCTACTTCCTGATGTGAAGCTAAGCAAGAGCATAGGAAATGCAAGGTAAGAATAGAAGTAGAGGAGTGGTCAGTTGCAGGGAGAATGACAAAGGAAAAGGAATGAAAGGATAAGAACAGGGAAGCAGTAGATAGGAAGAAAGGAGAACATTGACGTCACAACAGAGGGAAAACCCTGAATTCGAGCTGGTGGCACATATAGAAGGGAAGAATCTGAAGAGCCAGAGGTATAGAATATAAAATAATTGAATCATATAAGGGAATATAGAAATGCAATTCATGCTAATGGTAGGCCAGATGAAGCAAGGATAAAACTTTGAATTCAATGATGGTTACTCATGTCTAGGTTTAAAAAATTCAAATAGACCTTTCACAGGAAGGAAACTCCAATATTGGGAAGTTGAAAAAATAGATAGGAGGCTGTTCGCACTTCGCACCACTCTGAAGTCAGTCTTGCAACCTGGATTATTAAAATTTTAGCACAGCCTAGTCACATAGATCAGTGTCGTGGTTTAACTTGGAGAAATTATATAAGCAGGTGTCGGGTGCAGCCTGGCGATTAGAGTAAGACTATATGTGGTTAGTGGAATCGAGATTGTGGGTATCCCAAGAAATCAGGAATAAGGTGGGATTTATACTTGAAGATAACTGGTCTATCTTCCAGGATGCGTATGTGCCACTAAATACATTTGGAACTATTTTCAATTTTATTTTGTGAATAACAATAGCTTTATAAAGTCATAATTCAGATAGAAATGAAACAGTTTTCTCAATGACCTATTTTGGAAGAAATTTGCAAGAACATGAAAGGGAAAACTTCAGACAATCTCCACCACTCTACTCTCAAAAAATGCAGGTGGAAATGATAAAATTGTGAGAAGGTACAACGGAATAGCAAATTAGCCATTATATCCTCCTAAATGATGATATCTGCCCCAGAGAGTGAAAACCCCTATGAAGTCCACACGAAAGGTAGGTAGTCCTGCAATGCAAGCTTTTTTAACATGGGGTAAACAGCTGTCCAAGCTATCTTTCCTAGGGATAAGGAGGAGAAAGACAATAAATTCTTTTTTATAATGTTGGTGTTTAATCCAACTTGTCCGCACCTCGACTATTATATCGGGTACCTGCTACTTCCAATAAGCATAGCCTTGGTAAGCCTACCAAGGCTTAGGCAGAAAGAAATTACCTAATTTTTTTTTGTGCTGGAATTTGACCTGGGTCTCCAGGATTTGCACCACCTTTATAGACCACTAGGCCCACATCCTTGGGTGCAAAAAGAAAAAAAAAAATCTATCTTAACCACTTTCCATCGACTGAGAGAAGGCTACTGAATACCTTTTTTTTTTTGGTAAGGAGAAGGCTACTGAATACTCATAAACCTTCTTGCAGATACTGAATGTCCAACTTATTTTTTTCAACTCTTCTTCGGACACAAATTTAACATATGCCAGTAACCACTAACCATGCTGTTCAGATGATTTTTCTTAGTAAATTTAGACATGTATAGTGTGTGTGTGTGTGTATAGTGCTTTAATATTGGCAGAGGCCATTTGATGTCCTTTAAAACCCACTTCTTGTATATTGTGGTAAGTGTACATGGCCGAGAACTCTTTGGAACCCTTTAAAAAAATTATTACCCTTACTTTTCCTCACTTCAATCACACCGAGTATAGAAGTTTAGCTTACATTAGATAGATTAATTAGTCAATATCTCACAAATCACAGAATGGCAGAAGTATCAGGTAGGATTGATGTAAGATGGGGTACTCAGTACACCAATAATGAAACCCTTGAGAAGGTTTCTAGCATGTAGAATTTACATCAAATAAAAGCACAAATAAACTAATAAAAACAGCTCTAAACTTGCAAGAAAATTCGTTCCACCAAGAGAAGTGAAATGGATACTTACATCAAGAAGCTGCTCGTAGTTGGACTTTAGCAGGTTGATTTTCCGCTCACAGTAATCTTTTCCTTCAGTCATGGTTTTCTGTTAAAACAAAGAAAGAAAACAATCTTAGGGCTTGAACCTTCTGGTAAGGACCATGTGAAAAGATAATACATTTTTTTGGGCTTTCCATAAATGAAATAAACGAAGCATGGAATGACAAATGTGTTCTTTTCGATAATGCTCCAACTACAGTCCTTTAGAATTGTAAGACATAACCACTTTATTTCTTGAAAAAGCAAAAAGTAAATGGATGATCCAGGAACTACATATAACAAACTTCTCAATGCATGAAAGATACATTTCTAAAGAGAAAAATAACTTATTAGACCCGATAAACTTCAGAAAAATCTAGAGTAAACATCAAATTATCCAAACCTAAGAAAGCTGAGTAACTAGAAATCATAGAAGGAATCCAAAGGAGTTCTTTTTCACTTTGGACAGAGATCATAACTAATGAAAGATATTCTGTACATAGAAAGAATTTTCTAAAATCATAACGATGTTGCTTCCAGCATATATAGCAGCAGAATCCATTTTTTATAAGGATATTGTAAATAAATTCATTACACTTTCCTGGAAAATAAACAAGTCATCAGCACAGGAAAAAACCCAATATCCAGAATAACACTCCTCAAGACAATTATCAATAATGAACTCCTTCGAAACACGGAAAAGGAGAACTGAAAAAGAAAGTATGCCAAGAACAACACAAAATTAAGCATGGTCTCATGTTCCTCAGAAAAATCCAAATCAAGTATCAGTCACAACTCACAAGCAAGGTACATCAATGACGAACTTAGAAGATACTCTGTAGTACGATACTCTTTTCAGCTTTCTACAATTCAAAATGCCCAACATTCCTATACAGTTTTCTCACCTTTTAAGAATGCAAATTCATTAAAGTTTTCAGTTTATAAGCTCCCGATATGTTTTTTTAATCAAACAAAATTTTCAACTACTATGTTGTTTTCTTCTACATTAATATAATTCATATCAAATTAACTCTTTAAATTCTTTGAAAATCGAACACCACTACATAACTTGAAACTGCTATATAAGAAATAGCCACACACGCGACAAAAAAAGAAGTCATGTTTAGTGTCATGTTTATTTTTAGTTGCATATGACAGAAGCATCTGCCTATGCACACCCATCTTACTGCACCTCAGAAACCGATTAACACCTATCACCCGCCACCAAAAAACTGCGAATAAACATAATCCTAGATTAAAGATAGCAACTTTATTGACTCAATTAGCAGAAATAGACAGCAAGTCAAATACCCCAATTACATATGCGTCAAAAAATATATACAAACCTCGATAAAATATCCAGTGCCAACATCTACCAAAACCTTATCAGCATCATCTAGGGTCCCCGGCACATATAAAGACGCTGTTAAAGGCACCAACATTTTCTTCCCTGCACAAGAAAAAAACCAGAAAAAAAACCCCCAAATCACAAATTTCACAATAAAATCAAAAAAAGATCACATTTTTACACCTAATTCTCAAAAGGGTGTTTATACCTTGAGGGCGGAGAGATAAATCTTGAAGGGCATTAGAGGCGATTTCGAGGCGAGTAGTTGCAGTGCGGATGTTGTTGAGGCTGTCTTGAAGTAGGTTCACCTCTAGATCGGCTTGTTCCTTCAGTGCCTTTAGTTGCTCTACGCTCATCTTCTCTATTTCCAGTGTTCTTCCTCCCCCTGACGCCATTTCCTGATTTCCACCTTCGTCAGAAACCCTTCTCTGGTTTTAACTGTGCTTCTCAAGTCTTGAGAACAGCGAGTAGTTTTTACTAGCTGCGTCCTCTGTTTGTCATTGATTTATGATGGGTTAAATGGGTATTAAAACATGAGTTGAATGAGTTTTATTATTAAGAAATATTTTTTTTTTCATATGATATGGTTTGTCAAATAGGTTTATTTTTATTTTTTGAGTCACAAAGTAATAGGAATGGTTTTGTGGGTTATTACAAATTTATTTTTAGTTTTATGATTCTATTACTTTTTAGATATATTAGGATATTTATTTTTACACATAAAATATTTTATCTTTTACATATAAGAGATCTAGAAAGATACTTTCATAATTTCTAATAATTGCAAATGACCATGAAGACCCATTTCATCAAGTAATAGTTGAATGATTTTGTTATCCCATATTAAATAAAAATAATTTTGATAGAATATTGCTATAAATTACGTGACTATTCAAGGAATTAACGGGTCAAATGATTTTGTGGGTCATTAGAAAGTTATTTTTAGTTTTATGACACCATCTCTCTTTTTATACACAAGATATTTGCTTTTACACATAAAAGATTTATTTTTTACACGTAAGAAATCTAAATAAATGCTTTATTAATATCAACATTATAAAAGCCACGAAGGCCTATTTTCGCGGAATAAGAACTCCATGTCCCTCTATTAGGTTTTTACCTTCCCATTTAAAATATATTAATTTATTTTTTGATGAAAAATCACTAAATAGGTTAACTGGCTAAAGGGATGAGACACAGAAGGGAGGCGACAGGGAACAAAACCAAGTGGCTGACTTACTTGCAAAGTCTGGTAGCCAAATGGAGAGTACCGCAGGAGTCACTGTATATACACAACCACCATCTTTTATTCGAGCAGCACTGAAGGACAATCGCACAGCAAAGTTTTTTGTTAGAAGACTGCTCTACCAACTCTTCCACCTTCAAACCGTTTGCAACCACCCCTTAGAACATCTTTTATGTACTACTCCTAATGTAGGCCCTAGTAGTAATAGTAGTAGTGTTAGTATACTGTATTTGTAAAATAGTTCTGAAGAATATAAAATAACGTATAAACAGAAATGAAAAATAGAAATAAAATTTAAACCGAGCCAACTGAATTCACAGTGTTTCCTTAAGGAATTTAATCCCCTCCTAGTACCCAAGGTTGTGGATTATTTCCTCCAGGATAGAACGAATTACACATTGGTGTAGCGGTACTTCAAACCCCAGTGTTTCAGCGAACATAAAGATCGGTAGCAAATCACACTTATTGTTACTTTCTTTGTAGTTAAAACATTGCAGAAGAAAGGAGGAGAACTCAGAAATTCGTATGGAAAATATGAGAGAATGGACTGCAATTTATAGCCCAACCTGTAGAGTTCAAATGAAGAGTTGTAACTCTTCAGAGGTCATTTACGTAAAATGGCCATAACGTAAATGGCCATTTACGCAAATTAAAACGGGCAGAGGAAACGTTTTCCATCACAAAAAACGGACGGGCAGAGTCAATGAAACGGATAATTTGAATTATTAATTTTCCGTTACAAACACGGATAATATTAAGTTAATATTTACTATTAACAAATAAATTTGGTCCAAAAATTTAATCAATCAATCAATTGATCATTTGACCAAATCCGAATCCAAAGCCGAGCCGAGCGAGCGACGGCGACGACGACGTGAGGCTTGCCTTCTTCTTAACTCTTTAAGAGCTACAAGAAGATCAATTGTATATATACCCATCAAAAATCTTTTCCTCTTCCAATATGGGACAATGTCCCATTGTCAAGGAGGAAAACTTAAAAATTTCATTTTCCATCTATTTCCCATTCGCCCTCTTTTAAGCCTATTTTAGCTTAAAACTTCAACTGCCTCGAAGCGTAAGCCATGACTCTGCCATCCTGCATCAATACTGCACCAAGTCCAATACGGGAAGCATCACAATAAACTGTATAAGGCCCTGAGCCTGTGGGCAAAACCAATATCGGTGCCGTAGTCAGAGCTGTCTTGAGCTTCTGAAAGCTCGCCTCACACTCGTCCGACCATCTGAACAGGGCACCCTTCTGGGTTAATCTGGTCATCGGGGCTGCTATGGATGAAAATCCCTCTACGAACCGGCGGTAATAACCTGCTAACCCCAAGAAACTCCGAATCTCAGTAGCTGATGCTGGTCGAGGCCAGTTCTTGACTGCCTCAATCTTCTTCGGGTCCACCTGAATACCCACTGCTGATACGACATGACCTAGAAATGCAACCGAACTCAACCAGAACTCACACTTTGAGAACTTAGCATATAACTGACTATCCTTCAGAGTCTGAAGAACCACCCTAAGGTGCTGCTCGTGCTCCTCCTGGCTGCGGGAGTACACCAAAATATCATCAATAAAGACTATCACGAACATGTCCAAGTAAGGTCTGAACACTCGGTTCATCAACTCCATAAATGCGGCTGGGGCATTGGTTAACCCAAACGACATGACCAAAAACTCATAATGCCCATACCGAGTGCGGAATGCTGTCTTAGGGACATCAGACGCCCTAATCCTCAGCTGATGGTAGCCAGATCTCAAGTCTATCTTCGAAAACACCTTCGCACCCTGAAGCTGGTCAAACAAATCATCAATCCTCGGCAGTGGATACTTGTACTTAATCGTCACCTTGTTCAATTGCCGGTAATCAATGCACATCCTCATCGATCCATCCTTTTTCTTCACAAATAACACTGGCGCACCCCAAGGAGAAACACTGGGCCTGATAAAACCCTTCTCTAGCAAATCTTGCAACTGGTCCTTTAGCTCCTTCAACTCTCGCGGGGCCATGCGATACGACGGAATAGAAATGGGCTGCGTGCCTGGGGCCAGATCAATACAAAAGTCTATATCCCTGTCGAGCGGCATACCCGGCAGGTCTGAAGGGAAAACCTCAGGGAACTCCCGAACAATAGGAACAGAATCAATAGAAGGGACCTCTGTGCTGGAATCACGAACATACGCCAGATAAGCTAAACACCCCTTCTCGACCATGCGTCGAGCCTTCACATATGAGATAACACTGCGGGTGGCATGACCTGGGGTCCCTCTCCACTCCAATCGGGGCAAATCTGGCAAAGCCAAGGTCACGGTCTTGGCGTGACAATCCAAGATGGCATGATACGGGGACAACCAATCCATCCCTAATATAACGTCGAAATCCACCATGTCTAAGAGCAATAAATCAACACGGCTCTCAAGACCCTCAAACACTACCACACAGGAACGATGAACTCGGTCGACCACTATAGAATCACCCACCGGTGTAGATACATAAACAGGAATACCAAAAGCATCACTAGGCATAGCCAGGTAGGGTGCAAAATAGGACGACACATATGAATACGTAGACCCAGGGTCAAATAGCACTGAAGCATCCCTATCACAGACCAGAATAGTACCTGTAATAACAGCATCTGACGACTCAGCCTCTGGCCTGGCTGGCAAAGCATAACACCGGGGCTGGGCCCCACCTCCCTGAACCATGTCTCTGGGGCGATCTTCCACTGACTGACCCCTTCCTCTGCCAGTCCGAGCTCCACCTCTACGGTCTCTACCTCCACCTCTATGATCCCTACTCCCGTCTCTAGCTGGCTGGGCAAGCTGTGTATCACCTGATGCCTGAATCATGGGGCGGGGAACCTGCTGCTGAGAGCTACCCGAGGCTCGAGGGCAAAATCTGACAATGTGACTCGGGTCACCACAACCATAACAAGCCCTCGGTTGCTGAGGCTGCTGGCCCTGTCGACCTGAATGTCCTCCCCGGAAACTCTGAAGTGGCGGTGCACTGATGGGCTGCTGATCAGAGTAATGCTGCTGAGAACCGCCACCGCTTGGAGTACTATGAGAAACCTGGAGTGCTGACTGAAAGGGTCTCGGTGGATGGCCTCTACCATATGAATCCCTACCTCCCGACGAGGTACCACTGAACCTACCAGAATGACGAGGCCTCTTATCCGACACCTGACCACCTCCTCGTGCAAGCGCCATCTCCACCCTACGGGCTGCATTGGCAGCCTCCTGAAAAGAAATCTCACTACCAGCTCCCATAGCTATCTGGAGACGGATCGGCTGAATCAATCCATCAATAAACCTCCATACCCTCTCTCGCTCTATGGGGAGTATAACAATAGCATGGCGTGCCAAATCAATGAACCGAGTCTCATACTGCGTGACTGTCATGCCCTGCTGGAGGCGCTCGAACTGCCTGCGGAGAGCCTCTCGCTGAGTAACTGGGAGAAACATCTCCAAAAACAACTCTGCAAACTGGTCCCATGTCAATGTTGGCGACCCTGCTGGTCTAGATAAACAATAGTCCCTCCACCAAGTCTTGGCGGATCTTGCAAGCCGAAAGGTGGCGAAGTCGACCCCATTGGTCTCCACAATACCCATAGTCCTAAGGATCTCATGGCAGCTGAATAAGAAATCCTGTGGATCCTCTGAAGAAGCACCACTGAATGTGGTGGTGAAGAGCTTGGAGAACCTATCAAGTCTCCACAAAGCATCCGAAGACATAGCCGCCCCACCGTCGGTCTGAGTCACAATACCCGGCTGAACTGCCACAGCTGGCTGAACCACCGGAACCTGAGCCTGGGGAGCTACCTGCTCCGGAGTACGTGTAGCAGGAGTTTGAACCCCTCCTCCAGCCTCAGAAGTGGCCGGTGCTACTGGAAGCAAACCCGCTCTAGTGACGCTCTCCACAAAGCCTACCAATCTGACCAGAGCGTCCTGAAGAACTAGGGTGGCTATGAACCCCTCTGGGACCTGAGCTGGGCCCACCGGAGCTGCTGGGGCTGGAGCCTCCTCATCATAATCAACATGAGGCTCCACCTCTAGGACTGCTGCTCGGGGCTGAGCTCTGCCCCGGCCTCGGCCTCTGGCACGGCCTCTGCCTCTTCCCCTCGCAGGAGCTGCTGCTGGGAGCTCGGGCTGCTGCGTGGTACGAAGAGGAAGCACGTGTTCTCGCTATCTGCGAAAGACAGAGTAGAAAGCAATCATATTTGAGAAACAGAATCGCACGACAGGAAAGACGAAAGTGAA